GTTCTGTGATTCTGTGATTCTGTGATCCTTGTTGTCAAGTTATTATTTAGAAATAAGTGCTGGTCTTACTGTACTTTGGAGAAGTACCAGCAGCTTCATACTCCCTTCCCCTCCAAATGCAGGTGCATGCATCTTCTCTTAGCCTCTGCCCTTTTTACTGTCTGAGAACAGTAACTGGAAGCATACTACAGCTCCTAACAATCTGATTACGTAACTATTTAAAATATTTAACACGCTGTACCATACCTGTCTGGGTGAACTGCTGTACTTTCCTTGAAAGGCAAACCTGGAATTGCTTTGGCAATCTATCAAGAAAAGATGCACATAGTTTTAGCAATAAGATACGGTTCAAGAGCAATATTTTAGAAAAATTATTTCGTTTACTGAGTTGAAAGTGCTTTTCTTAACTAACTCCAGGATTCTCCAAATATTTGGAGAATTTCTGTACAAATTGAGCGTTTGTCTGAATAAGGCAACAACTCAGACAAAAGAAACTTCAGAAAACTAACTTATTACAGAACAGAATTTACTTTAGTAAGAACCAAGCACATGACAAGAACATTGCCCACACAAAATAAAACGCAGTTTATGATCATATCTCTAGCTACAGTTGTAATTGGGAACTTAGCTAGAGCGAACACATACTCGTTATTATTTAAACATTTTAATTGGTAAAACAAAATTAAGAAAAAATCATGGAAAGCCTACATGCCACAGACAGGAGGAAAAAAGAAACCCAAAACCAACAAACCAAAACAGCTTACCCAGCTGCACACTTACAAAGACCATGCACATGAACTTAAATTGAACAACACTCCAAATCCTCAGGGGAGCAACCAGTAGCAGACACTGGATCCAGAGTTACCCCAGAGATGGCTGGTTCCCAACAGGGGATTTTCTAGCATTCATCATCAGTCACCAGCAATCAACAGGTACGACTTGGTCAAAGACTTGCATCTCTCAACTGACTGGTAAAGTTAATTCAGCTGACTGTTTGCAGAAGGGTATAAAGATAACCCTACTCTGCTTCAGTAAGAATACACACTACTTTCATCATCATTCTTTCAAAAAAATTTTAGTAAGGTATTACAGTTCAGGAGTGGTTGTCATCCTTCAATTCTCAGCAGAGATAAAAATAACTTCTGTAAAACTCCTTTTATTCCCCCTGACCTGACAGAACCAGTTCCATTACTACCACTGAAGCAAATTTCCCCTTTAACACATTAAAGCAGAAAAGGACATGGAACACCACATGCTATTTAAGAGAGACAAGATTGGATACACTCAATAGTGATTATTTGCCTGTAATCAATTGGTTCTTTTTCTTTTCCTCCCATGGGCATTGTAATAGCTCCAACTGTACAATTCAGTACACAATTTAATACTCAAGAATGAGTGCTAACCTTTTGAAAGTGATTCAGAAAAAAACACCAAGAAAAAAAAAGAAAGAGAGGACTGTAGTACAGCTTTTTCAGTTTCTTTTTTTAAATTGCAGAAAATCAAGTAAAATGTTCTTTTTTTACCTATATCAAGAACTAGTGCAGTCCCCTAGATCAATGTTACGCAGATGAACAAGCTAGATGACTACAGTATTCCTAATCTGTCATATTTAGGTTTTAGTTCATCTTTGACAACTTAATACAAAATTTAACACTTACAGACACAGTACTTTCATTTAAATCTGTGCTTAATATTTGGTATGTCTCTTCAAGAAAGGAATTGGAAACAGCAAGACCTAGAAAGAGAAGTAAAAAATGCAGAAACACATTTCCGATTATCTGAACACATAAAAACCCAGTATTTTTATTTACAGGGGGTTATGACTGACTGCTTGTATCATTTCCTAATAGCAAAAAGAACAACAAAAAAAATAGTTCCTTTTTCATAAAGATAACTATGCAAATGAACTGAGTGAATAAGGATGCAGAGGATGGAAAGTTGCATACTTAAAAGAAATACTTAAATTGCTATAAATGAGACAACTCATGGTAAACACTAGTTTTAAAATTACCTCTGTTAAAATAAATCCCTCCAAACTAAAAAAAAACAACCCATAACCAAACAAACCAGTACTGCATCACTGATCAATGCCACAAGTAATTTCAACAACATCTAATGTTATTAAGCATACCAACAAATGCTTTTGTAATTCACCCTCAAGCCTTCCTTTGTCTTACATAACGCAAAAAGCTTTATAGTATTCCTGCATCTGATGATTTGATTGGTCTTTGTAAAGTCTCAAAACATAAGCATCGATTGTTAGAAGGATACCATTTCATCCAACTGTTGGACTCCAACTGAGACAGCAGGTTCATGTTCAATAGATCCAGTTACAGACACATAATGCATTGCATCTATGATTGTTCCAGACACATGGTTCCTACCTGTTTCAAGATTAGTTGATACCTTCTCCTGACACAGCTCTGGCCTGAACCCAAACTCGGGATTAACCATATTCACTGGAAGAGACTCAACAAGTAATGACGTCTGGTTCTCCTGATAATCTGCAGAACTCTCTGTATTCTCTTCAGCTTCCTCAAAACGAGCAAAGTTCTTGGAGACAAGATCATCATTAACACATACCTAAAAAACCAAGATCTTTGTTGACCAGTATCAACAACCAATTGCCACCACATACTTGTTTAGAATTTGTCTTATGCTTTAAACAACAGTAGTAAAACACATCATCAGCAAATGCTTTCTGAAGCATATTAACAGAACAGCAAAGTCAGTCACATTCTCCTGTGTGTTCTCTAAACAGGCATTAATCAGTTGTCAGTTTCACGCTTCTGCCTAAAATTCTATACTTAATTAAAAAAAAACACGTCAATAAGTCAAGCTGGTTTATTACTTTTAGATTAAGCGTGTATTAAAATCTGGCAGAAAAAAAATATTACTACACCTAAAACTTCTTAAACTCCATTGGCCAAGAGATCAGTGACACTGTTGCCAATTGGGATTCTGAACTGAGAGAAGATAATCACATTAGTATGTACCTTCCAAGTTATTGTCTGTAACAAAGACCACAGCTGTAGTGTTAAAAGCCTTTGTAAAGCACTCCAAGTAGAAGCAGTATTCAAATGAATTCATTAGTATCTACCACACAGCTGTTTAAGTCTGGCAGTAGCTAAGGCACAGATTTAGCACAAATTAGACATTTTGGCAAGTAGAATTAATTAGTTTGGGGTTTTTCTGTTGGTGGTGTTTTTGGTTTGTTTTGGTTTTTGTTTTTTTGGTGTGGGGTTTTTTTTTTCTTCCTTCTCCCCCCCACCCCCAAAGGTTTGAGGACTCAATCTTATGCAAAAGCAAGTGTGAACTTCTATTTATTTTTCTAATACTATGCACCTGCTTTATTGAAACATCTTTAAGTAAGATACCACAAAAAGGTGCAAAAGTGCACTAAATAATCCACGTAGTTATCCACCTGAAATACTTGCTGGACTTAACTTCCTTGTCTTTCTTTGTCAATACCTTCTAAAAAGAGGCTCACAAAGAAAAATGGGATTTCTACTTCTTAGAATTCCTCCAGAAGTTTATAAGCAACAGAAATATAAAACAAAACCTCTAATAAGTTAATGATTTAGCTTCTACTTTATCTGACAGAAACTACAAAACTCATTTGCAAGTAATGTTTTTCAGTCTTAAACAAACTGCAAAGTTATAATTTGCATAGCAAAGTGCACGAACAGGTTTGTAGATATAAAAGTACCTTACCTTTTCATCTTTTATTGTCACGTAAAGAAGAACATCAAATGTGTTATCTTCTATGGCACACAACTTAGCTTTCATTTGGGTAGTTGCTAAATGTAGCAATAAACACAAGAACAAGGAAAAAGATTAAAACTGTCTCAAGTTATCAGTATTTTTCACTCATACTTTCCAAGATAGACAAAAACAGAAATTACAATTAGATGTGTAATCTATTTCTTTAGAGAAGCTAGTCCAAATGCAGTAACTTTTAAAAAAGGAAGCAACAAGGCGATACAAACTTACGTTACTAAAACGAAGTTGTCCTTAGTCTTTGAGGACAGAGCTGAAACAGATGAACTACCTCTCCACACAAAGCATTCTTAGTTCTACACTAGAAGCCTTAGTTTATCTTTTAATGTCTGACAATCTGTAGAACAAATACATACTTCCCAAATGAGGCATTTACTTTTCTTGAAAGAAATTGTATTTACACATTTGTATAACTTCATTTAAGCAAACGCAGCTGATAAAGTCCATTAGTAAATTCTGAAGCATTTCTTCTGCATACACTAATGATGTGCTAGCAATTAAAAAAGTACATACTGCTACTTATGGTACAGCCTGGGAAAATCTATGAAATTAAATTCAATGTTATTGCTACTCCCTACTAAACTTTACTTTGCATAGTGAGATACTGTGAGAAATACTATGTGCCAGTTAGTGTGTGAAATTATATACACCTAAAGACTCTTTACTGCTTTCATAAACTCATCCTGTCTTCCCCCAATACCATTTATCTTGAGTTTATTATACTTCTGAGTAAGTGGTTGTTTTTTTCATGTAAGAAAAAAGTAAAGAGCTGCTTTTCTACTAAGACTAAAAGCTGTCACATACCAAAACACAAGGCTTGATAGGAAACATAGAATCATAGAATACCAGGTTGGAAGGGACCACAAGGATCATCCAGTCCAACCTCTCAAGGTAAAAGTATTGTTTAAATGAGATGAGTCAGTACCCTGTCAAGCTGACTCTTAAAACTGACCAACATAGGTGAGTTTACCACTTCCCCTGGGAGATTATTCCAATAACGAAAAAGACTGGCTAACCTACTGAAACACCAAACATGGGAAAGCACAAGAACAGTCTGAAGAAAAAGCAGTTCTAGCTTACTAACTAACTACCTGGAGCTCAATTTATTTATTAACAACTATAATAAAAGACATTCTTCTTGGTGCTTACATGACACAACTGAAAGGGTAAACTCACAAGCCAGATCTTGCCATCTCCATACAAAACTACAAAAACACAGCTGCGATGCTGATTCAAGCTAAATACACAGAAAGTTTCCACTGTTCAAAACCAGTATTATAAGAGTGCTACCTAATTTAGGCTGTCCCAAGAGCCAGACACCTTCTAGTCAACTATCAAAATTTATGCAGCATGGAAGACCACAGTACTCAAGATGCAGCTACACAAGTATTTTTGCCTTAGTCAGTCCATACAAAAAAAATTTCTGCAGCTTCTTCCTCTTTATATTTAAGAATGCTGTATATTAAAAATAATCAAATACATAAACACAAGTACTACATTTCTTTAACAGTTTTTCTCCAAAATAGAAGTGCCAATTATGATTTTGGCAGGATGTTTTATTTACCTTTGAGAAGGCTTTGAAAATACTCAGTAGCAGCACTATCCCATCTTTTGGCTCGTCTAGGAAAATAAACAGTTATCCCACATAATCAAAAAGCTAAAATGCTAATTTTGGAAAAAAACATAGGATGTATGTAAATAAGTTATCTCAAGTCATGCCATATCTTAAGAAGTGCATGAACTAGACACGTCAGCAGAATCTACTTAGAATATAAACTTCAGTCTTGATAATATTGTTTCAGCTCATCAGTAAAATTATCAAAAATTACTGGATATTGCTTTCTCAAGGTATGGTAGCTTGCATTCAACATAAAATATGATGGTTAGAAATTAAAGAGTATAACCAAAAATAAAACAAGAATCCACTGGATTGGTTCTACAGAACATATTAATTAAAAAGGCACTGAGCAATTTTGAACAAGCACTTAATGTGTAGTTTTGATTGTTCTTTAATGACACAAACCGAAGTAGCTTTCCTGCTGTGGAGCAATATTCCCCAGTGATCTAATAATGTCCCTCTCAAGTTGGCAGGATCTTTCAAAATAGCATCCTGGAACTCGAGGGTACAAAAGCATTTTTCTTTATCATGAGGTCCCAGTGAAAACCTTATTCAAGTCCTTCAAAACTACAGTGAGAAAAAAACTGACATGAATATAAGGAAAGCACAAGACAAATCCAAAATATGTCAAGAAAAAGATAAAAATGGGGAAAAACAAAACTACCTATAAACAGCTATAAAACTCCATTTCAGCTACCATAAGAAAAACAAAAGAAAGAAAGAAAAAAAAAAGAGTATCAGGAGTAAGGCGAGCATCTGTAAGAAACAGCACATAAGGATATATTGGTAAAGAAGTTCATGTTCAAGAAGTCAAGAAACACAGCTCAGGTATGACAGAAGTGCCAGAAAGTTGTTTTAGCTTTGAAGGTTTTTAAACAAATATCCAAAGATCCAAACAGGGGAATAACAAACCCAAATCTTAAAGGAACCATTATTAAGGAAGCAGTTCCACTTAAGAACTGCTTCTCTGAAACAGGAAATAAAACTTAGAAAACTGCTTCTATGTTCTTCTAAAAAAATCTTCTGCAATAAATCTTCACACTTAGGAAATTAATGAATAGAATATCCTTTATTGAACTCTACTTACACTATTTTTGCAGTATCTTCACAAAAGTCAACACGCAACGTCACTGGCTTTGTGCGATACAGTCTACACTTTTTTGCTCTATACGGGATCTGCAGGAAAGTTTCCAGTGCAACTCGAATGCTTAAAAACAAATTGGAAATAATTACATTTTACAGAGCAGATTTTATTCTCCAGAAGCCACTGGTCTCATGCATGTGCTTCCATTACCCTGTGTGTAACAACATAGTTCTTCCATAAGTTTGGCCCTCACTGAAACACCTTGAAACCATCGTTTTATTATTCTCTCCAACAGAGGTGCTGCCAGGAGCAATCAGTTAACAGATTTGCTCTAGATAAGAATACATTTCCCATTTACTTGAAATCTTTCTGATCCTTTGCCACTACAGTTAGAAGTCTTTTCATGATACTGAGCCATCATACTACCACATACTACGGCAATGCATGTTCCATTCTGTAATTTTGACTTCTGTGTGAGAAACCAGGTATGATGAACATCAGACCAAGAAGGAAATCTAATAAATACACTAATTTGCATTTGGACTAATTTTCCTAAAAAACCCTTATTCTTCATAAAGCTATCACTAGAGTGTTAATCGTATCCTTTACACTTGATGTGGTTAAAGACTTAATAGACAGCAAGGTTTTAGGATCCATATAATTACTATTCAAATTTTTATTTTGCAATGAAAAGCTATAAATCACTCACTTAATTCTAGCTGAACATATTTTAAACTCAAGGCACTGTCAATTTTTTTCAGTACAGCAAGATTTACTTTAAAATATTTTAAATAAACTTTCTTAATTTTGTGAAATATTGAAAAGAAAATTGGTAAAGCTTTTTGTATTCAAAGTTGCAAATTTAATTGGAGAAATGATCCTTAAATCCAGGTAAGAACTAGAACAGTTATTTCTTAAAACACAATTTTCAAGATTTCAGACACAGTAGGTTTATAGTTTACTGAAAACTGGGAAACTAAAAACTCATCTTTCTTGCACCATGCCAAGACAGACGATCAGCTCTTATCAGCTCTTAGCAAAGTAAACAAGCTAGTAAACTGCAGAGGGAAAACAGCCAGATATTTGTGTCTAGATGTCAAAAACTGGTTCAGCAAGTGAAAACCTGTTTCCATACATACTTTATGAGTGATCTTCAATTTTTTAGGATAAAATCACCTAATATGGGAGGAAAGTATATACACATAATATTAACTGGCAGTCATACATTTCACTCATAACAAACTGCCACTATTTCAATTTTCGAATCTTTAAAAAAATCCAAAACCTACAACGGAGAACATCTTTTAAAATTACCAAAACAAAGACTGGTTTGCATCCACACTTGCAAGGGACTATCACATGGCCAGCAGTTTCTTGTGGACCAAATCCACACCTCAATTAAACCAAAGCCTTGCCACTAGCAGTCTAAACAAACATTAATGGTACTTGAATGCATGAACATACATTTCAGTGACAGTGTCAAAAAAAACAAACACTTACTCCTTTGACTTAACAAACATGTACTTCGCATAATCCACAAGAAAACATTCTGTTTGATAATCATCTGTACAGTACATGATTGACTTAATAACTGCTCTACACCAGCATTTAAGTTCCTCACTGAAAACCACACAAATCTGAAAAAGAAAGGACAAGAGGTTCCTGTAAATAAGTTTTTTTAGAGGCAAGAATATAGTATTTATTATACAGTCCTCAATTTTCTTTTTAAAAAGCAAGCATTGCTTATGTGGTCATAAAGTCTACAGATAATAACACATAACCCATATGCCTTTATATTCTTTTCTACACAGCAGTATTTAAAAAATAAATGCCTATCTCGGATCCTTCATCCCCAAACCAACGCAAACAACAGACTTCTATCTACACAACATAACAATGATTTTACCTGGCCTTCTTCTACCATGAGTGGTTTCACCTCATCCACATCTTTGTCATAGAACTGATTCATGTCAGCATTCAGATTTTTATATTCTATTTCATCAACTACGTAAGGACAACATCCTTTCACAGTGACCCAAAAGCAACCTGGATCTTCAACCTGAAGCAAGGGGTAGATAATAACAAATAATATTAGCTCCTGCTAAAATGATAGGATGCCTTTAAGAATATCTGAGCATCAAATGTAAAAATAAAACTCAAAATCTTCAGTGAGCCACACTAAAAATTATACGGACTAGATAGTTAACATACAGAATGTTAACAAGCAAAACATCTTTCAACTAAAGACTATTAGTTGATTAAATGACTTTACTGGCATGTATAGTCTAAAAGGTAGCTGCATTACCTAAAAAGTTCATTAAACCAAACAGTGGGTGAAATGCAAAGACATAAAGCTTTTTACTTCCATACTGTCTTCAAGAAGTATGTACTAAAAAAAAACCCAAAACACACAACAAACCCTACCAAAGGACTTTTCGTCATGCTCAGAGAGTCTACAAGACAGTTTCTTTAAAACGGGGTCATAGCTTTCTGCTCAGCCTTAGTAAATCTTTATCCCAGTCTTTCAGCTGAGTCCCTAGTCATTGTGGGTTAATCCCAGTAGGCAGCCAAACACCACACAGCTGCTCCCTCACTCCCATGCAGCAGGATGATCCAGAGAATTAGAAGGGTAAAAGTGAGAAAACTCATGGGTCGATATAAAACCAGCTGAATAGGTGAAACAAAAGCTGCACATGCAAACAAATCAAAATAAGGAATGCATTCACTGCTAGCCACTGGCAGGCAGGTGCTCAGCTGTTTCCAGGAAAACAGGGCTTCATCACTTGTAACACTGACTTCCAAAGACAAGTTCAATACCTGCAAACATCCCCCTTTCCTCCTCCTTCCCTGCAAATTTTATTTCTGAGCATGACATCATATAGCACGGCATATTCCTTTGGTCAGCTGTCCTGGGTGTATTTTGGGAAGATGATTTTTCCATGATCTCTTGTGGAATTCAGTAGAATCTAGGACTGTACTATATTTAAGTTACATTGCACATTTTCCATTTTAGATTTTAGCTGCATCCCTGTTGATCTCTTTTGAGATAAAACCAATACAAATAACTAAAAAAAAAGACTAAATGTATATAATCCATGTATGACCCCACAGGTATAAGAAACTGCAGCTGAACAGAAATAGAGGCATCATCTTATTTGTAAACCTGACTTCCAGAGAGCTGCACTGAAACCGTTAATCTTTCAGACTTTAAAAAAATGCCAGCATACCTCTAATACCAAGACTTCCATGTTTCTCAGCTACAGTCTTCTTTAACACTACTGTAAAAGAACAACAAATGTTTGATTAACCATTTTTAAGCCATCATCTGTTTTGAAGCATACCTAAAGAGCATGCATCTAAAGCAAGCCTAGAGAGTTCTTCCGTCTCATCTCAGGAATGTTAGTCTAGGCAACTGATTTACACATTTCAAAGAGCTCAAACCAGCCTTCTTAATGAGGCAGTATGTTAAAGCCTAAAGATCTGCCATCCATGCTTATGTTCATACAACCACATCAATTTTTAGCACCCCAAAACAAACCTGCTCTCCTCAGCCTACCTACAGTATATAGCTGCTTATCTTACATTCAAAGGCCAACACATAGTCTGATTGAAGACAAGGGTTGCTACAATCTATCTACATGACCAAACGGACAGAAACATCAGAGGGAAATACCTACAACATTAAAAAAAACACAAACTAATGCAAAAGAAGAGTGCCGACCTTAGCAAATGATTTTAATCTAACAGAGATTTTTACTGGTATTTTGCATTAATCTGCAATAGTGCAGATCATACCTAGGAAATACAATAGAATAATAAACTGCCTACTGACTGAAGTAATTTCATTTCATTTTGGCACAAACCAGCACACCATAGTATCACTACCGCAGTGTCTCACCACTTAAAAGAATTCACACTGGAAGCAGGTGCCTAATAAAATGTTTCAGGTAAGGAAAGTCAAGACATTGGTTGTCCACTTCCAAAGCTACTGCTAAACAACTCAGCGCTGGGTAAGAAGCAATACAGCTATACTGTGGATATAACTAGCAATGTGCTTTGCTAAGAGATAGTTGTAATTGGTTTTACTTAGACACTACAATGAAACAGCTAAAAGCTTTACCTAGTATCACATGATACAGGCATACTATGCAGGTTACATGCAAGTCTCTAACACTGCAACGAACTATAACATCAAATACACACTACCGCCTTAAACACTTAAAAAAAGGTACACTTTTATTTCAGGAGCAACATATGAGAGACATAAATAACCTCTCCTAACCTCTGAAGTGCAAAACCAATAAATGGCCTATCAGACTATCAACGAAAAAGCACAACCACATAAATGGATAGCTCTCCTAATGAAGTCATAGTAATAATACAGCAGGTTTGCTGTTATGAACTAAATGAAAACATAAACGTTTACTCAAATCCCACACCCAACACTAAGGATATACACCTTACAGAGATGCAAGAGCTCATTAAACCCCTCACCTCAAACTGCCGCCTTGAGAAAAACACAGCAGAAGTGAATACCTCTCCTGCAACACCAGCCACATACAAACAGTCCTATAAACAATCACTAATGCACTATCCCAGCCCCCCTCCCTCTCACCAGTCTTACTCCACCCAAAACCCCCACATCCAATAGACGCAGTGCAAAGAAAGAATACAGCAAAAGACCGTTAAAAACCTGTGTTTCAGATACAACCCTAACCCCAAACTCCCTTCACGTCCTGCATTTGCTTCATGCCCTTCCTCGTAAAAAATATGCCCCCTGACCTTAGTGACCAACACCACCATAAGCACCCACACACAAACCTCGGCCGCCACCCTCCTCAGAAACTTCCAGAAACTGCCGACCGTCTGAGGGTCGCAGTGCTGCCCAGTGCGCATGCGTACGCAGGCCGCAGGCTACAATTGGGAGGGGCGTGCGCCTGAAGGGTCGTGTGGTGCTGAGGCAGCGCGTGGTCAGGGCGGGGTTGTAGCACCGTGATGTCGCATTCTCGGCTCCTTAAGGGTTTTGTTGTGATAAATGAGCCCTAAATGACAGTCTTGTCTTTTTGCTGGTGACTCGCAGTGTAGCACTGGCTGTGCTTCAGGCTGAGGAGGAAAGGAGCTGGACGAAAACGCCATGGAGTGGAGGGAAGGCAACGAGCTGGGGCTGAGCCCGTGGTGGTGCCTTCTTGGGGCAGGGTCTCATCCTGCCCCGTGAGGGGGGAACAGCCAGGCCTTCTGAGGCTGCAGAGTCTGAAGTGAAGTGTGCTCTTTAAAGGTGTGTAAGGTTAGGTGGATGGAGAGCACGTGATACTTCTCTGTTGGAGTTCAGCTGTACTGCTTATATATATGCATGCCCTCAACAGAAAACGGCTGTTGTAAATGTCCTATAGCATCTAGGCTGTAAAGGAAGTGTTAACTTTTGCATCCCAAGCAGCTGTGCTTTTTTCCCTCCTAATTCACTCTGTTGTATACTAACCTTTTCATCAGACTGTAAAAAGAATTAAAAAAAAAAAAGATGCTTCAAGCCTGATTTAGTTTTGCAGAAGCCTGCACAGACAAGGTGCAGGCCCAAGAGAAGAGGAGGAAACATGCAGCTAGGAAATGAAGCCCACTTCTTTGAAGAGAAGCTCATACTGGAGAATGGCTCAATATTTTGAAACCACAGTTTTAATCATAAATATTTTTAACTTTATTTTAAATTTTATAGTACATGGTTCTTTACGGTATGTATATGCTAAACCGTTTATGCTGGCACTTAACCATTGTCATAACATTCTATGTAAAATGGTGTATTTGTTACTTTTTTGGACTTTCGTGGTTTGTTTGGGTTTTTTTGTCCTTTGGCCTTCAAGCTCCCCCTACTGGACCATTTTGCTTTTGGTGGTGGAAAAAAAAAAGTTGGAGACAGTCAAAGATGGAGAGGGAGTGTGTTCACTTAAGATACAGATTTAGTACTGAACTATTCTTTGACACACAGCAAAGCTTAGAATAAAAGACAATGTACAACAACATACAGATGTGTAAAAACTTTTGCAGGAGCCTTAAACTATGTATAGTTTGCTGAATAATTTATTTCCTAAAAATACTTTCTTCTAATACCTACTTTCTACTACAAAAGTATACTGGTAAAACAACCATAAGGGTACAGAACCATTAAAAAAAAACCCCAAAACCATCAAAGAAGCTCTCCAGCAACTATGAAAGACCATATTGCAAAATTAAAGCAGTTGCAGATTACATTTTTAATTATTTTTATATATAGATATTTTATATATTTGAATTAATGATCTCGAGGAATATACCAGATGTAAAGAGATGACCCTGCATCTTAGGAAAGTGAACTTTTCAGCTGTTGAAGGGAGCCCCTAGGAAAGTGCCCTCAGAGATAAAGGAGCAGGAGAGAGCTGGCAGCTCTTTAAGGATGTTTTTGTTAAAGCACAAAAGCTCTCAATTTCCCAGGCAAGGAAGGCAGGAAGCGAGCAAGACTAAAGACCTTCTGGTTAAAATGCACAAGAAATGTACAGGCACTGGAAGCAGGAATATGTATCCACAGGGATGCTGCCTGGGTATATAGGAATTTCAACAAGGTCTACAAAACCAGGAACAGTCTTACCGTGTTCAGAGAGAGAAGGCACACTTTTTTTTTTTTTTTGCAATCCAAATAAATGCCACAAACCAATTCAATTTAATGAAAATATTGCAGAAGATTTTAATTGAAATACAGAACAAAAGCTGAAACAAAGCTTTCCGAACAACTTTACTGGCTCATATCAAGTCATCATTCATTATTCTTCCCGATAAAGAACTTACATCACTGCTACATTTATTCCACTTACTGCACAAAAAAGACAGAACAAAGAAAAATTCAAAACAAAAAAGCAAGCAGCAGTCCTTCCTCTGAAGTTCTTAAGTCTCAGATACATTTAGTGAAGTAGTTAAGCAAAATGTGGGATGTTGAAATATGGAAGTCGGGTGTTTCCAAGGTAGTACATTATTCCCTGCTGTTGTTGGGTTGGTTTATTTTAGGTAAACAATTTTTCTATTTTTTTAAATAGCTACCAACTTGATCTTAAAAATTATAAATAAAAAGAATGTTGAGAATGTACTCAATCTGATAGATGACTTTGTCTAATTTACCTTTGAAAATTGCAACGTTTTGAATAAATTACCATTAGTATAAAGAATTTAGGTATATAAAATATAAAAATTAACTTTATAATAATTTTTAAAGTGAATTTTAGCTAATAAATCTATATACACACATATACACTGGTTTTCTCAAAAATTGAAGAGAACAGACTAGGATATGTTAGCAGATATGGAATGGGAGATTTCATTCATTTCTAGACGCACATTACAGTTGTCTAATGGATAACTTTGGGAAGCATAATAAAAGAATTCCTCAATGCAAAACATACTTGTTCTGAACATAATGTGTACTTTAATTTTCAATGAGAAAAGGACCTGTGTGACCCAACAGAGCAGTGTTGCAGCATATTCTGCAATTACTATGTAAGTAGAATAAAGTAATGGTTCAGTATAATTACCATCAAATCACACTTCCGTTTATCAGTAATTAAGAGTTATGTTAAATTTTCAGTAGTCTCTAAACATTGTAACTGGCACAACTGTGCTGTTTCAAACACTCAAAAAATTAGGTACACATAAATCTCAAACCATGCACACGAAAGATGCTTTGGCAGGACAAAGGAATATTTTCCTGACTATTTGGCAACAGTTAGAAAGGACCAAAAGCACAGTGAGTATGTATGCAATTAAAAAAATTCTAGCTTTAAAGCAAATAGATACTATAATCTGCTATTGTAATTTGAACAATCAGAGTTTATTGTCAGTGGATTAATGTGTTTATATTTTGCTGGAATATTAACATAGACAGCAAGATTGTTGATGGTTTTTATTACTATCCTGTGAAATACACTACCCTCTTCCATGAGATCTTCAACATTCTTATCTGTAGACATTATTAGTTTCTTTTCTCCTGTATAATCTGGATCTTCTGGATATAACTCATCTCCTGGGGGGAGAAAAAAAGTTGTAGTTATTGTCTACCTTATTTTTCAGCCATTTGATTGAGTGACACTAGCATTTAAGAAAATATTTATCAGGACATGTAAAATACATTCTCACTGAGTTTCAATACAAAAGTAAATTGACTCAGATTTAAAGATACAGCCATAAATTTCTGAAGTATCTGTCAGTGACGCTGCAGTGCACGTTTTAGGTGTTGATTTGAATGTTCCACTGTTCCTGATAGTACTAATATACTATATGCCATAAACAGAGCCTGGTCAGATAAGAGTTTTTATAATAGCATATGTATAGCACTCACAATATAATAGCACTCTTGTGCAAGAAGAGTGTACCACAAATACAGAAATTCTAAAGGTCAATTGTGACCAAAAAAAAAGATAGCATAATGAAAAGCAAACTAAAGAGGCAGAAGAGAGTAAATAGTAGATGTGTGGGTTTTTCTAAGGAGAGGGGAAAAGCGTACATGATTATGAAATGAGAGAGAGACTTAAATAGGAGAAAGGGCAGGAGGAAAATGAATTAGTGTATCTTTTTAGATCACTGCCCTATCACTACAGTTGTGAAGACTGGTACTGCAGCTGCGCTTGACCCACTTGTCCTTGCAAAGACAAACGGGTAACTGAAGTAAATGAGAATTCCCACTGAAAAGGACTAAATAGGAGTTCTAATACATCCTTCAGATTAAAAAGGAGTTGAAATGCTAGAACTTCTTTGTAAATAAACGTATTAATATCAACTATATGAGACAGTGAGATTATAAGTAAGGATAGAAATAAGTATGCTGTCTGATTGAGTAGCTCATCTCTGACAGTAGCCATTATTGACTGTTTCTAAAAAGGGAGCCAAACAGTAGAAAAAGCATGTGGTAACTTGACTTAGATCTATCTGTAACTGTAAGGAAAATATTTTATGTCACGTGGCTTGAGTATATTAATTCCCAAGCTTTTTTGTATTTAAAACAACCTTAATCTGTTTCTTACCTGGCAACAGCTGAATGTAGCCATCTGAAGCAGTTAACGTCACAGGCATCCAGCATTCACATCCCTCTAGAGCTCGATCAGAGCTGAACTTGTGTAACTTGTGGAGTGAGGAGAAGTTGCACAGCCTACACAATTCATAGAACTGGGGTGGAGGAAACCATATTTCTTGAGATTTAAAGCATTCAATGGCTTCTGGAGGTGATGACCACTGTAAGAAGAAAACTGGTCTTGAAATAATGGTTTCATCAGCAGATAGAAAGTTATCAGTAACTTTAAAAGCCATTTGCAAGAAAGTCTTTCCAGAAAGAGCTTGCAAGAGTCTACATTTCCTGAACACAATAAAAACCATAAATAAACTATACCAAAATAACTACAACAAAAAGAAGTTTTAAAAATGGAAGAAAATAATAAAAGCAATCTGTAAAAATTATTTTTCCTATAAAAATAAATAAGCTTTTATTTTACATATAGGCATATCAAGTTTGAAAACTAAAATTGAGACTGGTTTTAGGGACCTGACTAAATCTACTGAAACCAACAGAAAACCTTAAAGTCAGTGTGAACTCAGTTAACAGAGGTTGTTACTGGTGCTTCAAGAATTAAAACTACCTCTAAACACCTGCTTCCTGTACAGTTTTCAGAGCATGAACACCCAGCTATTCATGCTTAAATACCGTGTTGTTCTGCATGTTTAAACTATTAGTAATCCTCATTTCATCTTTCATGTTGACTTTGATAATATAAATGTACGTATAAACGTTTGCAGTAGATTCATACTGTTACTAACAAAATTACAACAAACTCGTTTGAGGCGATCTCAGATACTTTTAAATTTCTGTAGCAAGACCTGTTCAAAAAATAAATATAGAAACATCAGTAATACCAAAATTGTTAGATAAACTTTTACAGAACTTCTAATTTGCTTTCAAGCTTCTTGGAAGTCTAGAAAAACTTAGAGACCCTAATGTACCTGGCCCTGAGCTATCTTTAAGAAGATTCTTGATAAAGAGTTTTTTACTCTTTTACCCCCACCAATTAAAAAAAGGTGAAATAATCAATATAGCTCCAAAAATGCTTTTAATAATACTACTCTACAAAGGACAAAAATTATTAGCAGCTCTTGCAGCCCTGAATGCTATATGCACCACGGGGTTCTCCAAGCATACTCAATGTTAAGGGTATACCGACAATACTCCATTGATACTGCACGAATAAATGTATAAAAAGCGATTGCCATCCACCTTTGAAAGATACAGTAATTCAGGTGGAAAATGATCTGATGTGATACACATCCTATGCCATAAAACTTAATGTAAAATGACCTTCCAGAAACACCCCCTTTGGCTGACAGTTACTGCACGATTGATGAGAGGGGGAAGCGGCATTTACTGGTGGGAAGGAGAGATATACAGGGGAGGGGATTAATTACCGTGAGGATGAAAACTCCCTTCCCTTTCCTCACATCTTAAGGGAGCGTTATGGGAACGGCGAGGAAGTTAGACCTGCGGATGACTATTTAATCGCTTTTTTTCCTAGGCTGCACTGGGAGCAGGCCAGGGGCTCGACGGTGTCACTGAAGCCGGGGCGGTGGAGAGGAGGGGGCTGCATGGGGCGGAGTCAGGGTCCCTGCTGCTGGTTGCCATCGGATACGAGCACAGCCGGGGCAGCCCGGCCAGCTCCTCCCGTGCCAGGCCTGCGGGGGTGCAGCCCCTCTTACCAGGAAGGCTGTCACCTCTTGGTGGTCCTGCGAGGTGTGGGGCGGCCGCTTCTCCAGGCAGCACAGGTAGAAAGCCGTGTCATAGCGCCGGCCGCCGCGGCCAGCTCTGCCGACTGGTGTCAGCCAGTTGCT